GGCAGGTAGGGGCAGGCCCCGGAGGGAGGGGAGGGAGGGGAGGGAGGGACCGGGGGAGACAAGAGACAAGGTAACGGGAGGCCATGCCTCGGAGACGAGGCAGGGAGGGGTGACCAAGGCGGTGGTGCCAAAGGAGAGTCTGGTGGGATAGGAGACGACACGAGCAGGGAGCAGACACAGGACCAGACCTGGACGCTACAGCAAACACCTGACCCGACGCAGCTTCCTGACCAGACTCAGCAACCGGAGGAGACTCAGTAGTTAGTGTGTACGGGCTCGACCCCGGCTGACGGGTAAACGTGGCCAAGTGTCGGCCCGTCCGAGCACACGTACAGTGGGTCACCCGCGGACTCGCAGGAGTGAACTGGTGAACCCCCCCATCCTCTAGATCAGCTCCACTCACCAAGTTCGTAGAGACCCGACAGGGTGCCAGAGGGGGCCGCCGGACACGGTAAGACAGTGGAGAAGTGGGCAAGGACAGGACCCCCAGAGGGGTCCGCCAGGGAGACCGCAACTGGCCGACTAAGCGGCGTAAGCGTGGTGCGATCTCGAAAGAAGGAGCGGGAAGCACCCGAGTCAAGGGTGAAGGTGTGTAAAGCCTGAGCCGACGTGGTACCTACATCACAAAAACCCTATGCCATGTTTGGACGAATTTTGATTTCGATTGTCTTCGCGTAAAAAAATCCGGAGCCAATTTGGACCAACGGTTGGAGTCATTTGATAGGAGCTTCGAGACACATCTTGCGACAAGGTTTGGCTCGGTTCAAGTTCCAATTTGGCACGCGAGCTTTTCCGGATGACATTCGGGCGCAATCCGTTTTGTTGCAAATTCGTGACCAAATTATTCAGAACTAAATTCTGTTTTTGTTCATTTTGGATATTGAGGATTTCAAAATTGCATTTATTATTGCGGTTTACAAGAACCATTATTCAGCATTCTAGCAACAAGCAGTCATAGCACCAGGTCAAATAGCCTACGCACTGGCGGGCCTTGAAAGCGCCCGGTGGGCAAGCACGACATCTCCAAGGTCGCCGTCGTCGATGAGGAACTTGTTCGGAAAGACGAACGCACCCATAACCGGATCGTGGGGAATCCTCCGCTCCACGACAGCAAAATGGATCATCTGTTTGACCTTTTCGCACCACTCCTGGTAGTATGGCCTGTTCTGCTCCGGCTGGCTACTGATTCGCTTGCGACGCTTATCCTGCAGAAGGGGCCATTCGATCTGCAATGTGGTGTAGGGTTGGGTGGATGGTTTATGAGGAGGGTAGGTTATGGGTAAATGAGGCAACTGAAAGCGGTGATGCAGTCGTCACTATCTACATAACTGCAAAGGCCTAATCGACCAGGGTTTTAGCTGAAGTACAGGCAAGGGGTTAAGGGGATGAGGCATGGGGGTACAAACATATATCTACATCCTTACCGAAAACAGGCCCCATGCCACCATGCGGCTCTTGAACTTGGTGAACACCGCCCCGCCCCTCTTGAAGGAGAGTTTGAACGCATAAGCGAACAAGGGGTTGCTGAAGGGTGTCCCGGTGGCCTTGTCAAAGTGCCAGTTGAGGGCCCACTGTTCTGCTTTTTGGCAGGGAGGGTACGGGTTGGAAAGGGTTTTGTAGAGAAATCAAATGGGGGGATGAGAGTCAGGGTGAGCCACATCGCACGGTGATATGTAGCTGCCAAGGGGCATATGGTAGGGCATATTGTGTTTTCGAGTTGCACTGCACATACCATCTCTGTACTCGGCTAGGAGCTGATCGTCGTCGAACCAGGTCGTTGGGTGTAGCTCAGTGGGCAGGCTATCCACGAGATGGCTGTAATCGGCAAGGCCCATGCCGGTGTATGCTGCTGGCCTGAGGGTGGAGTTGATAGTTGACCTTGTTGAGGACAGCTGGTGGTTGAAGACTCCCATGGTTGACTTGTCATTGTGCAACCACAGCAGCTTCATTGCCTCGAGCCCTTCTGCAGACAAGTGGACAAAGAACGCTTCGAACACTTCCTCCGGTGCAGGGTAGTACTGTATTTTCTCCGGCGGGTTCAGAAACATGAGCTGAGAGCACACTAAGTAGGCTTTGTTTTGCGCAGGGGTGTAAGGTATACAACACGACATGGAAGAGAGAAACCAGCAGTTATGAGGGTGGCCGCGTGACCATGGGATGGTGACTAGCAACACTGTTTGAAATTGCCACGTCACACCCTGCGCCATCCGACACGTCCACCAACGACCCGGCCCACTTGCCACGTCACACCCCCCTACCACAAGCCACGTCACCCCCCACCCACCTGAGACGCCTCGCTTCGTCATGCGCAGTGGTCACGTGTACCATTTCTAACCGCCACGTCATCCCCAACCCTCACCTTCTGCCACGTCACACCCACCTGCATCCGCCACGTCATCCCCAACCCTCACGTTCCGCCACGTCACACCCTCCTTGTCCGCCACGTCCACCAACCAGCCCCACGTGCCACGTCACACCCTCCTGCATCCGTCACGTCCACCAACAACCAGCCCCACGTGCCACGTCACACCCTCCCACCCCATGCCACGTCACCCCCCACCCACCTGACACGCGTCGCCTCGTCACGCGCCGCTCCCGTGTACCATTCCAAACCGCCACGTCAACCCCAACCCTCACATTCTGCCACGTCACACCCTTTTGCATCCGCCAACAACCCGCCCTACTTGCCACGTCACACCCCCCACCAAGAGCCTCGTCACCCCCCACCCACCTGAAACGCCTCGCACCGTCATGCGCCGCTCACGTGTACCCTTTTAGGGTGCCACGTCATCCCCAACCCTCACCTTCCGCCACGTCACACCCATATGCATCTGTCATGTCATCCCCGACCCTCACCTTCCGCCACGTCACACCCTCCTGCATCCGCCACGTCCACCAACCAGCCCCAAGTGCCACGTCACACCCTCCTTGTCCGCCACGTCCACCAACCAGCCCCACGTGCCACGTCACACCCTCCTGCATCCGCCACGTCCACCAACAACCAGCCCCACGTGCCACGTCACACCCTCCCACCCCATGCCACGTCACCCCCCACCCACCTGACACGCGTCGCCTCGTCACGCGCCGCTCCCGTGTACCATTCCAAACCGCCACGTCAGCCCCGACCCTCACATTCTGCCACGTCACACCCCCCAGCATCCGCCAACAACCCGCCCTACTTGCCATGTTACACCCCCCACCAAGAGCCACGTCACCCCCCACCCACCTGAGACGCCTCGCTTCGTCATGCGCCGCTCACGTGTACCCTTTTAGGGTGCCACGTCATCCCCAACCCTCACCTTCCGCCACGTCACACCCATCTGCATCTGTCACGTCATCCCCCACCCTCACCTTCCGCCACGTCACACCCTTCTGCATCCGCCACGTCCACCAACCAGCCCCAAGTGCCACGTCACACCCTCCTTGTCCGCCACGTCCACCAACCAGCCCCACGTGCCACGTCATACCCTCCTGCATCCGCCACGTCCACCAACAACCAGCCCCACGTGCCACATCACACCCTCCCACCCCATGCCACGTCACCCCCCACTCACCTGACACGCGTCGCCTCGTCACGCGCCGCTCCCGTGTACCATTCCAAACCGCCACGTCAGCCCCAACCCCCACATTCTGCCACGTCACACCCCCCAGCATCCGCCAACAACCCGCCCTACTTGCCACGTCACACCCCCCACCAAGAGCCTCGTCACCCCCCACCCACCTGAAACGCCTCGCGCCGTCATGCGGCACTCCCTTGCACCCTTTCACACTGCCACGTCATATCCCAACCCTCACTTTTTGCCACGTCACACCCAACCCGCATCCGCCATGTCCACCAACAACCCGCGCCACTTGCCACGTCACACCCACCCACCCCATGCCACGTCACCCCCCACCCACCAGATACGCGTCGCCTCGTCACGCGCCGCTCCCGTGTTCCCTTCGAAACCGCCACGTCAGCCCCAACCCCGCCCTTGTTGCCACGTCAACCCCAACCCTCCCCATGTGGCTCGCCACATACCGGGAATGGGTTTGTCTCTTGCAACACTAGCACTCGTGCCTTGTCCACGGCACTCATCGGCGGCGGGGTACCAGCCATAGGCAGGGCTGCCGACCCGCCGGCATAGCTGGCAGGTACTCCACGACGCAGGCCGAGCTGTGCAAACATGGCGTACATCTCAGACCGCAGCGCCTGGAACTCCTCCCGTGTAACAAAATGCTCGTGCTCCGCACTTTCACCTAGGGCACCCATGAGCGGAGGAAAAGGGTGTGAAGAATCCCCCCTCTGGCCAAGGGGATCAACGTCTTCTGCAGCAGTCCCGTGTGCCCTCACACTATCACGCTGGCGGGAAAAGGGGAGCTCAGGGAAGGGATTGGCATAACTGCCTGCCTGATGCCCGCGCGAAGGATCGGCGAGAGGGGAGACCGCCCTGCCCCGGACAGGAGAAGCGTGGAGTTGCCGAAATTGGTACGAGGGTGAGGCGAGTGGGGACTGCGTGACGGGGGCGGGTGGAGGGGATTCGGATTCCTCTCCTCTTGGCGCGCCTGGTGCCGTCGCAGCGACTATGCTCGGGCCGGCCCATGGCGTGTAGTACCTTGGTGCTCTGGAGGAGAGCGGTGTAACACTCGCTCTTCCGGCAGCCTTCGTTAGATGCATTCGTTGCACGCTTATGGGCGGCCCAATGCCTGGAACGCGAGGGGCTGAGATGTAGAGGGAGCCGGAAAAAAAAAAATAGAGTCGATCGGTTTCAAGGCGTGGCCAGACATGCATGCATATTCAGAAAGGTTTGAATCTAGATCGGGTTCAGGGTTGTACTGGTTTGAGACAAGAGGGTTTACCTTGCTTGGCAGATTCGTCGACCTTCTCCTTCCCTGCATGGGAGAAACAATGTGAAAAAAGGGTGTTTTTTGGCACGGTTTAGCAGATGGTTCAACACGTCACGCCAATTTTATTGGACACAATGCTCACCTTTCTGCTGTCCCTTCGGTTTTGGGGCAGCCTACGCCTTCTCGTTGCCACCTTTCCGCGGGGTGCTTTGGCGGACGCTGCGACGTTTACCGGCAGGTTCTTTCTTGCTGGTGCCCACTAGAACCCCTTTGGGGCGGCCACCCTTTCCTCCTCCATCCCCTTTTGCTCCCTGGCTCCCTTGCTTTTTACCAACCCCTTCACTTTCGACCTTCACCTTACGCGCCTTCGGTTTGCCCGGTGCTTCGCCGCGCGCAACGTCAACTGCCCCGCGTTTTCGGGAAGGGCAAGTCCGCCCCCCCTCCTTCCCTGTACCACTCACCCGTCTGCCACGCCCGCCCCGTCCCTTCAATGGCGCCACATCCTCCTCCTCCTCCTCCTCCTCCTCCTCCTCCTCCTCCTCCTCCTCCTCCTCCTCCTCCTCCTCCTCCTCCTCCTCCTCCTCATCCACATCCTCCTCCTCGTCGTCACCCTGCTCCTCCTCCTCCTCCTCCTCCTCCTCCTCCTCCTCCTCCTCCTCCTCCTCCTCCTCCTCCTCCTCCTCCTCCTCCTCCTCCTCCTCCTCCTCCTCTGCCTCCTCTGCCTCCTCCTCCTCCTCCTCCTCCTCCTCCTCCTCCTCCTCCTCCTCCTCCTCCTCCTCCTCCTCCTCATCCTCCTCCTCCTCCTCCTCCTCCTCCTCCTCCTCCTCCTCCTCCTCCTCCTCCTCCTCCTCCTCCTCCTCCTCTTCGTCCTCCCCGCCATCATTCTCATCTTTTTCATCCTCCCCAACATCCGCGTCATCCTCCTCCGCTTCCTCTTCATCCTCCTCTCCCTCCGCATCCTCCTCCTCATCCTCCTCCTCCTCCGCATCACCGGGGTCTTCATGGCCAGTTCACATGCAGGAGTACATATATATATATATAAAAGGCTAGACAAGCAAGAGTAGGCGTATATATATATGTAACAGTACAAGCAAGGTCAAGAGGTGAGCAAGTGAGGCAAGACAGGCACAAGACTCAGCTGAGTACAGAAGCGCTGATGATCATAAGGCGCAAGTGCCTTGGTGAAGATATAAGCAGTGTTGGCCTTAGAGGCCACGTACGCAAGATGCAGCTGACCACGCTGCTGTAGCTCACGAGCAAGGAAGTAGCAAAGAGCAATGTGCTTCGTTCTGTGCTCCAGTCTCAGCTCTCGACACAAGGCCAGCATGGCCTTGTTGTCTACGTACAACACTGGAGGAGAACGAGGCGGCTCTCCGAGGTCAGTCAGCAGGTAGGTGAGCCAGCGAAGCTCCTGTGCAGCCATGGCCCCGGCGTAGATCTCAGCCTCACAACTGGAGCCGAGAACAGAAGACGAGCGGGTAGCCCGCCACGAAACAGAGCCAGAACCGAGGCTGAAGGTGTAACCCTGTGACGACCGCTGCGTAGCCTGGTCGTCAGCCCAAGAAGCGTCTGCGTGCCCAGTGAGGACCACTGGACTCTGCCTTCCAAGCACAAGCCCCATGCCCAACGTACTGCACAAGTAGCGCAACACCCTCTTCGCTGCAGCCATGTGCTCTTGTCGGTGTCTCCCAGGAGCAACATAGTGTGCCAAGATGCTAAGAGGGTATGCAAGGTCAGGTCGTGTGCAGGTCATCAGGTACATGAGGCAGCCAACAAGCTCTGGGTACGGGCCACTCGACTCTACGGACTCATCCGAAGGCAGAGCTGAGAGCGAGTGGCGAGTAGGCAGAGGAGTGGCCTGAGGCGAGGAGTACGTGAAGCCGAAGCGCTGAAGGACCTGCTGCACCATGTGTGACTGAGTCAGGGTAATGGTGCGGCGTGCTCTGTCCCGGGTGATCTGCAAGCCAAGGTAGCTGCGCAGTTCACCCAGGTCTGTGCACGTGTGTCTCTTCTGCAGCTCGGACTTCACGTGGGCGAGTCCAGTAGTGTCAGCTGTGGCAAAGACCAAGTCGTCGACGTACACGAGGATGTAGAACGGCGGCAAAGAAGTGTCGGTGCGCAAAAACAGCGACGGGTCGGCAGTAGAGGGGGCAAACCCAAGAGCCGCAAGCGTAGTCCTCAGTGTGTCGTGCCACTCACGTGGTGCCTGGCAAAGACCGTATACTGGCCGCCGGAGGCTCCACTGGGTGCCAGGAGGAAAAGACGTAGGTGCACGGACCAGTACCCCCACCCCGCTGGCGTGCAGCGTACCACTCACGGAGCTGCTGAGGGGGGGGGACGGGGCCGGAGTCGCAGGTAGGGCGACGGGGCCGGGGCGCAGGTAGGGCGACGGGGCCGGGGCGCAGATAGGGCGACGGGGCCGAGGCGCAGGTAGGGCGACGGGGTCGCTAGGGCGACGAATCAGGGGCTGCTAAGGCGGCGCGACTTGGCCGCTAGGGCGGCTCGACGAGGTCAGAGAGGGGAGCGCGACTCGGGCTGAGCGCGCTCTGGGCAGGAAAAAAAAACTTTCGGCTTGGTGGGCCCTAGGCACAGTTCCCACGAGGGAACCTGCTCGATACCATGAGAAACTGAAACGAGAATGATGCACTAAGGGATGGAATGTGGTACAAATATGCAACCCTAAGAATGTGTACCCCATATAGGCTACCCCACTACAGCCTACAGAACATTATGATTTGACAAATGCGTGAAAGCTAACGATCCAAAAACTATGCTATCGCATCCCCTGCCTAGCATGGGGGGGAGCTAACAGCATAATCCTTGAACAATCAGTAGTCACATGAAACAACACAATCTGTGAACTCTAAAAAGATGGTCAACTCTATCATCTCCAGCTCAAGTGGGCTCCCGACAGGCGCGCCAATGAACCTTCTAATGAAATGATAGACGTGATTCACCCTTTTAAAACCCACAGACATGCATTGTCATTGCAATGATACATGAATGCACACTCAGACAAGCAAACACATTCACAAGAACCAAACACATGAACAGCAAAAAAGCGAGCCAGAAACCCACTAAAATACATAAAACATGCAAACAAAGTAAAAATGGCAATATGGTAAATCCTATAAGTGACAACTACAAATTCTCCATATTGGACTTGTCTTCCGGATTAGCAAGACTCCTAAGAACAAAAAAAGAAAAAAAGAAAAGATACAGAGAAAAAGAAATCATAGAAAACTGTTAGACATGAATAATCAGGATACAAAATTACGGATGATGAAAAGGTGGAAGCAGAAAACAGAAGCGGAAAACGAAAACAGCAAACTGAAGCAGTAAACATAATGGAGGAAGGATGAAAGGAAGTATGGAAGGTAGGAGGGAAGGAAAGAAGGACGGACGGGAGGAATGAGAGAGCGAGAGCGAGTGCAAGAGAATGAGAGAGAGAGAGAGAGAGAGAGAGACAGAGAGAGAGAGAGAGAGAGAGAGAGAGAGAGAGAGAGAGAGAGAGAGAGAGAGAGAGCGAGAGAGAGAGAGAAAACGAGAGAGAGAGAGAGAGAGAGAACGAGAGAGAGAGAACCAGAGAGAGAGAGAACGAGAGAGAGAACGAGAGAGAGAGAGAGAGAGAGAGAGAGAGAGGGAGAGAGAGAGAGAGAAAGAGAGAGAGAGAGAGAGAGAGAGAGAGAGAGAGAGAGAGAGAGAGAGAGAGAGAGAGAGAGAGAGAAAACGAGAGAAAACGAGAGAGAGAGAACGAGAGAGAGAGAGAGAGAACGAGAGAGAGAGAGAGAGAACGAGAGAGAGAGAGAGAACGAGAGAGAGAGAGAGAGAGAACGAGAGAGGGAGACGAGAGAGAGAGAGAGAGAGAGAGAGAGAGAGAGAGAGAGAGAGAGAGAGAGAGAACGAGAGAGAGTACGAGAGAGAGAACGAGAGAGAGTACGAGAGAGAGAACGAGAGAGAGAGAACGAGAGGGAGAGAATGAGAGGGAGAGAACGAGAGAGAGAGAGAAAGAGAGAGAGAGAGAGAGAGAGAGAGAGAGAGAGAGAGAGAGAGAGAGAGAGAGAGAGAGAGAGAGAGAGAGAGAGAGAACGGGCGAGAGAGAACGGGAGATAGAGAACGGGAGAGTGAGAACGGGAGATTGAGAACGGGAGTGAGAGAACGGGAGAGAGAGAACGGCAGAGAGAGAACGGCAGAGAGAGAACGGGAGAGAGAAAACGAGAGAGAGAGAGAGAGAGAGAGAGAGAGAGAGAGAGAGAGAGAGAGAGAGAGAGAGAGAGAGAGAGAGAGAGAGAGAGAGAGAGAGAGAGAGAGCGAGAGAAAGAGAAAGAGAGAGAGAGAGAGAGAGAGAGAGAGAGAGAGAGAGAGAGAGAGAGAGAGAGAGAGAGAGAGAATGAGAAAGAGAGAACGAGAGAGAACGAACGAGAGAGAACGAACGAGAGAACGAACGAGGGATAGAAAGAGAATTCGATAAACTACGTTTTCGAAAAAAAAAATGCCGCCAAGTTTCTGCATCAGTTTCGACAAAGATGGTCAGTGGCCCTTCAAAGAGCCCAATCCGTGGGCCTCCTTATCAAGTTGGGTGAGGCAGCTGCAGCTGAGAACCCGCCTATGGGCGGTATTGGGCAGGAGTTGAACCTAGGAGATTGTTTTGCAGTGATAGAGCCCCTCCTGGAACTTTAGAGGGGGTATAGGGTAGGAATTGCCTTTGTGGTTTGTTACCCTTGCTTCTATACCTTGCATGCTTGTGCCTGGCTACCATATCAATACAAGGACCATCAGAGAGAGAGAGAGAGAGAGAGAGAGAGAGAGAGAGAGAGAGAGAGAGAGAGAGAGAGAGAGAGAGAGAGAGAGAGAGAGAGGGGTGCGTCAAGGGGACCCGCTCGGTCCACGACTCTTCGCGGCAGCAATTCAACCATGCCTGCTAAGCACGGCGACCTTCTTACCGGAAGTCGCAATAGTGGCCTACGCCGATGACATAACGATAGTGGGGCCGAAGGAGGCCTGCTATGAGGCCTTTGGGGCCATTACCAGGGAGCTGGCAACGCTCGGCCTCCGTTGCAACATCGCAAAATCGTCGGCATGGGGACAATCGCTAGCGGATGACAGCAGCACGCCACCTCCCATCGGCCTGCAGCAGATCACAGATGGGATCCGGGTTCTAGACAGCCCAGTCGGCTTGCCTGCCTTCTGCACCACCCAAGCACAAACACGGCTTGATGAGGCGTCGGCCTCGTTATCTCTGGTGGCGCAGCTCCACCCGCAGAGCGCAACACTCATCCTCACGAGGAGCATATCCCGCCGAATCTCCTACTTTCTGCGGACGACACCGGCGGAAGTCCTGGGGAGAGAGGAGTGGAGGGGCTGGAGTGAGACCCTGATGGCAACGGCACTAGCAGCAGCGAAGCTTCGAGTACCTTCGGACGAGCTGGAGAGGAGTCTGTTGTGGCGCCAGGGGAGTCTGCCGGTCAGGTTGGGAGGCTTGGGGATTATTGACCCAGTCTCCGAGGCACCTGCGGCCTACATCGCCTCGGTCATGGCGGCGCAGCAGTTGCTGCGCCAGATGAACCTGCCTGAGGCCTATCTCTTGAGCAGGGCTGTCGAGCTGCTGTGCCACGATTGGACCCCTGTCCCACCCGGCATCAACCCCCTGACAACTCTGGAAGCTGGGCTACCCATAGCTGCACGGGCGGCACTACACACTTACAGGGAGCAGCCGGCGGGAAAGGGAAACCTTCAACTGACCCTGTCTCGCCACATCAATGAGACGAGGGCGGCGGAGCTGCTGGCTGACACAATAGAAGACCGCCCAGGGAAGGACCGTGGGCACGCAGTACGGCTCATCAGTTTCCAAGGGGTGGGCGCGGGGGACTGGCTCCATGCCGTCCCAACAAGATCTGACCTTACTTTCACCCCTGGTCAGTTCTCGTTGGCACTTGGCTTTCGCCTCGGCATGGCTCTGCCAGTCACAGTCACTTGCCCGTGCAAGCGCGCCAACACTGTAATCACGGACACGAGCCTGGCAAACCACCTCTTGCGGTGTGGGTACGGGGGAGATGTCGTCCGCACACACAATGCTCTAGTGTTTACTCTGCTCCGGATGGCGAAGGAGGCCGACTTCACGGTTTTCCACGAAACCACTGCCTTTTCCCCACCGGTGCTGAGGA